TCGATATAACTTCTTAATTTTCAAGTTTCTTTTGAGGCGAAAGATATTCTAAGCTTTCACATAAAGCTCTGATTATTAATCGGAATATGATATATCCTAAGTATCGATGACAAAATTATGACCATTATTAGCAATACATAGACAATTTGAATGTTCTTTTCATTATTATTTAACTAAACCCGATTCTTTTTTTTCTATTTTTTTATCAACAAAAAAATTAATTAAATATTAATTTTAGTTTTCCAAATATAAAACAAATTTAGAAATTTACAATTTTAAACAAAATGGAATACTTTGGATCATATTGCGTCCTTCTGAACCATTTTAAATTTAGAATATAACAAAAAATAATTGTTATTCACTTTACACAATAATTAAATTTAAATTATTTTATTTTATTATAATCTGGCTATTACAATTCACAACAATAAATTTATTATATAAATAAATAAAATAATCATATCACGGCCTTTAACTGATCTTTAAATTTAGAACCTAAAAATTAATGTATCTCATTTATAAATATAACACAAAAAACGATAAAATAAAAATAAAGTAATTAATTTAATAGAAAATCTCAAAAAAAAAAGAATTAGTATGTTTATAAAATAATTAACCAGAACACACATAAAAACCAAGTTTTCGATCATATTTAAAGCTACTAAAAAAGATTCAGTTTTGAACAAACACTCTTTAGCGTTGTTATTAGATAATTATGAATTTATTGTAATCATTAATGACATGTAATTTATAAATCTTTTGTTATTCGATATGTCAATAACAATATAACCACGACGCGTATTTGATGGTTTTCACAAACTAGCGGTTGACAAACTTGCTTTCGCACATAAACCTAATATAGTTCCATAATATCTTAGAAAGATTTAATGAAGTGTTGTACTGCAACTTTAGCTTGGGGTGTAAATTTACCGGCTTATGCAGTAATAATTGAGGGAACGGAACAACTTTAGATATTATGCAGATCTTTGGTAGAGCAGGTTGTCCAAAGGTTGTCTACATAATGCTTTGTTTTTATTTTTATTTTTATTTATTTATTCTTTTTTTTAAATAATAATTTTTTTTACTTATATATAACCCTTATCAATTAGTATTAAACGCATGGCGTTGGCTGTATTTTAACAACAAACGACAAACTATCATACTACGTGTCTGCAATGATACAACAACATCCTATTGAATCAAAGTAAATCCTCTTAGTTTGAACTTGTATTATGATTGGTCAATAACTATTCTAATTTATTTTGGTTATTTTCTATAGATTCATAGATAAAATGGTTGACAGTTTGAATGATGAGATATCATTCAGCACCGTGACAAATGTTGATGAAGGAGTTCAATGGCTGGGCTATACGTATCTGTTTGTACGTATGAAAAATAACCCACTTGTATATGGAATGAATTATTCGGAACGAGATGATCTGGAGTAAGGTAAACAACGACGCGAACTTATTGTGAAGTCTGCAAAGACACTTCATAAATTTGGAACTGATTATTTCGAAATTCAAGATATTGGTCGTATCGCTTCCAATTATTATATAACATACCAAAAGCATGAAAGAAGCCAATATTCTATCAATAATAAGTCAAAGCAGCGAATTTGCGGATTTGAAATCAAGAGAAGAGGAGGCTAAAGAACTTGAAAGACTTAAGAAAGATGTTTGTCCTTGTCAAATTAAGGTTGTATTATATCCCGATCGATGATGAACTTTTCTAAAAAATTATTAATTTTATTATTATATAAATAGCAAACTACCGATGATACAGTTTTTTATTACAAGCATAACTATCAAATGCTAATATTGAAAATTTTGCTTTAATATCTGATTCAGCGTATGTGGTACAGATTACAAGTCGCATAGTTCGAGCTTTATTCGAAATTGCTTTGAGTCGTAACTGGGCTCAAGTTTCGTCTATTTTATTAGATTTATGTAAAGGTATTGTTCAACATATGTGGACGCTTGAGAATCCTTTGGCTCATTTAAACTGCCTCGAGAGATTATAATGAAGCTTCAAAATAATTCATACATCCCTTCATTAGAGGACATGAGAGATATGTCCTCGGCTGAACTTTGACAATTAATTAGGCAGAATAACATGGGCACTTATATTTCTAAATGTGTAGACATGTTTCCGATGCTTAAATTGGAAGCACAAGTGCACCGATTGCACGTAATATTATACGAGTATTACTCTGATTTCATTTGGAATGATCGTATTCGCAGTATTGTAGAACCATGGTGGATATTCGTCGAGGATTCTGAAAATGTTGAATTACATCATTCAGAATATTTTATATTAAACAGGAAACAACTTGATGACAATCAATATATTAGGTTCACAATTCCAATCCAAGAATTACCTCATCAATTATATATTCGTGTCATATCAGATAGGTGGATAGGAGCTGAGGCATTTCTTTCAATTTCTTTAAACAATCTAGTTTAGTTAAGGAGTTGGGTAAAGTTGGTAGGATAGTTATTTTAGTATAAGAGCAATTAAGTTCCGTTAAGGAATTGGATAATGTTGGCAAGCTATTTAAT